ACGAATTTTAGATCACATTACATCGCTTGAAACTTCAGTTGCTTCTTTTATTAGCTTACTGGGTTTATATTATTTCCAGATTGGACAGATTATTTGAAAACGGACCATATCGGCCAAAAACCGGGGCAACCGGATAGGCCAGGATGATCTGTTGTAGTTGTTACGGATTTAATCATCAAATTATTTGAAAATTCCATCATCATCGGCAACATCTCTATCTCATTGCCCAGTTTTCGCGATGAAAACGCGACAGTTCAAGTTATTCACCCTCAAACTTATTTTTATATACTTGTGAAATATGAATATTAAATAACATGTTTTTTAGGTTTTGTTTTTTATATTTTTATATCACTCTACAATTATTGTATTGGACAATATTTTAACAGTGAAAATAATTTAAAGAACAATTATATGTGACAGATCAAACTTGGCAAACTCTTTTAAGTGGAATTCAAGAAAAAGTTGTATCATTTTATTAGTTTAGAGTGTTAACACAATACCAAATGTTAATGAAAAACACAGTTCATTCTGACAATAATATTTTTAAGGAAACATTTTCATTATTAAGCTGATTATCATTTTCATTTACATGTTTACATAGGAAATTGAAAAAGATATTACATCCATTAGTAAAGAACTGTTATCGAAGCTTATTCCATGGAATAACTCTTGTACTGATTTCTGCCGGAGTATAACTTAATAAGACTAGCACCATTAACTCTGATTCAACCAATTTGTTACCTAAACGACCATCTCATACCGACTTCGTAAAACAACTTGAGCTGAGCTGTAATTGAAAAATCAGCTTGGCTTTCAATTTTACAGAATCAGTTCAAAAATAGTTGACAAGTGTACGAGTTTACTTGAATTTAACGCACTTCTTCGAATGATTTGAGTTTTTTCATCGTTCATCATTTCAAGCGTGTTTTTTTACACCAAAGTGTTGAAAATTTGGAAAACAAATGAAGCATTGCAAATTTGCTTGTAATTTTTCTATGGATATTACCTTGGATACGAGAAAGGTCGATATAAATCGGCAACTACCAATTTTGAAGTCCCAAATCATCGACTGACCGAGCAAACGAACGCCGAAATGGGACGCATTCTTCCATGTCCACGCCAAATGTAGATAAACTGGATTTATGTTACATAGAGATGATATTATTAAGATTTCATATTCCTTATAATTGTGACGGCAATAAAGTCAATTACATGTAGTTCGGATTGAAGGTTTTCATGCTCTGGCACAGTTTTAAAAGTTTTGGACGACCATCTTGACAAGAAAAAGTGAGTTTATACAATGGTACTCGGTAATAGTTAAACATGTAGCGCACCAACAATATAATATTTGTAACACGAAACAAAAATATGAAATCTTCCTTTATCAATATCCAGTTACGAGTACATCTTGGCATGTAAACTACGTTATCCGTGTTTTTAATCACGTTACCTATTAAATCTAAGCAATAAATTACTCTATCGTAAGACTTGATATATATTAAGTCGACCCTATTGTTGGACAGCTTATTATATTATTTCTAAAACCATAAAAACAAAATGAGACAGACGAGACTGAGCAATTAATTAGAAAATAATTTAGTAAAATGAGAGGAGATGCTCTTTGAAAGAACCGCTCACATTTCCAATTTCTAAATTGGTTTTAAATGATCTTGTGTTCGTGGTCGTAAAGATAACTATTTGAATACCACACGTTGGCGAAAAAAATACTTATGGATACAGAATATGACATTGCAGTAGCTGTCAAGGCTGAAAATGATGCCATAGAAAAAGTGCCAAATCGTTTAATTATACAATCTAGGCTTTGCTTTTACAGGCTAAGCACAAATATCTCAAATTCGAAAATAAAATGTGACCTGTGCTGCTGTTCTAACATAATTATCGATTAACCATATTTCAAACTAGGACCTAGGTGTTTCTAAGACCTAGCAGGGTCGGAACATTATGACGTAAAACGGTATGACCTGTTAAGAATCCACCCTTTCATTTATCTGTCGCATGTTGTATTTATGACTAAGTCAGTTTTTGGTACCAAAAATAGGTTGTCCATGTCCTTCAGATGTAGATATATCAAGAGGGTTTTAAAGGTTTCGATCTATTATTAATGACCGTTGACAACTGACGTTTATCCTATGAGTTATCATACTATTTGTCAGAGATTTAGCTATTTGTTAGTGATGGCCTGTAAAACCCGAACAATAAAATACAAGATTGTACATCAATAACTATCACTGAGTATCACTGCGGCATTAAAGATGTTGGATACACTTGAAATATGACTCTATCCATTTGGATCATCTAAATTAAATGCCTATTTACCGTATCAGGGAGTTATAAAAGAAGTAATGATTACGGTGTGATTAATTGGTAACTTGATATAGTGCACTGTAAATGTCAAACTTAGATGGAGTAGACAGAAGTCCTTGATATTTTTATTACGAGAATTTATGTGTTTACAAAGATTCGAACCATTGTATGGACTTTGGACAACATCAAATAATCTAATTCCTATTGGAACCATATGTCAGTAACCTTTACTATGGAATAACCACATTGTATTATGGAATTAATAATCCTGAATATAGAGTCTTTCTTTCTACATTATAAAACAAATTATTATTCTAGTTATCTGCTATGTTCTGTCTATCACCATTATTCCTAATTATACAACTCAATAGTTATTCTCCTCATGTAGTACATGCTTATGCCGAGTGTCGCCAGAATTAAAATCGAATAATTAACTGTATTAAGTATACGCACCAGTTTCCTTTTTACAAGAATCAAAGGGATATGGTCGTCTAAATACTTGCTCTGCTATCTGGATTGGCTATTTCAGTCCGTACAGCAAATGCAGTAGCGTATTTAGGAGGAGGGTCATTGGGCCATGGCCTCCCTCGAGCCTTTGAGGCCTCATTTTGAACTGAAAATTAAACTCTCTTAATGCCCCAAATTCATCTCAGAGTTGGCTTTTGTGGGGGCCCCTGGTAGCCCCAGATCCCTGGCCTCAATGGGCTTGGTCTTTTTCCTCCAGCCCCCTCAGGTAGTTTCTAGATACACCCCTCAAATATTAAGACAACTGCATGCTTATCTCTTATCTTTTGAATGTCATCTATTCTAATTACTGAGCTCTAGACAGTTTTTAATTGAAGAAATATAGGCTAGTTTTGACAGATGTTTTTGGTTAAATTTCTTGATTCCATTTGGAAACAATATAACATTATTCCAAAACAGTAAATAAATTTTGAATTGCACAAACATCTATGCCTTAGGGTTTTTCTTATTTACAAAATGACAAAATTGTTTCGTGTGACGGAATACGATTAAAACAAGACAGTGTTAAAATAGCATCATTAAGTTGGATTTTGCCCAATGGTAGACTAATTAAAATGAAGTAATCGGATTGAGGATTGAATAAGAGTGCATGAAACGAATACGAACTCTGGAAAATGATCATTATTGACATAATTATATGATAATATTAAAGGGGCAGACTGGCCATTTTCGGGGATTGATTTGGGTCTTGAATACATGCAAATAATCTTCACATGTTCTAGAAATGTACGAAATTGCATAATTCCCTCAAAAATGCCTCAAACTAGGAATTTCACTTTCTATTTCTATATATAGGCTATCTTTTCTATGTCTGGCAGAATCTCTACAAAAGACTCGTTTTTTCAACTTGTTTTCAAATTGTTTTGAACACACAAGGATTTGAAGGCTCAAATTTCGATGGTTAAAAATGGCGATCTGTCCCTTTAAATGCCTTTAATTTAATACTTCATTAACTTCATTGGTGTTAGATTTATAATATACGGCAAAAATGTGTCTAGCAAATTATGTTTTATGCATATGTATGTATTTATACGAACTTAAAAAATGTTTAGAGAAAGAAATCTCACCAAGCGTTGTGTTTATACTGAAAGATCGAGACTAAACTGGAATCGTCAGGCGATCAATGGCGGGAAATAATGATGAAAGCAGACATAATCCTGAAAGAAGACTTCAAAGTTATTCTTCATTGTTAGACAGACATTTCTTAAAAGTTCGTTTCACTGTAAATGACTAGCCCTGCGGACCTGCAACACTAACAGGGGGATACCGGGTTGAAATATCTGAAGGTGTTATATCGACCTATACTATAATCGCGCCTAGAACCCCGTTTGATTTGTTTGGGTGGCAATGTCTTGCAATGTTAATGACATTAACAATTGTTTACAACATAGGAAGATAAAGCTTGACAAATTCTAAAACTTGGTAAATATGAGATTTTTATTCAACTTTTCCATTCAAATAAAGATTTTCTGTTAGGCTACTCCTGAGAAGGAAATAAACGACGACCTTGGTTTGTACAATAGGCTTGTACATACTATTGATGTAATTCAGTGGTGCCCATGGCATTGTTGTTATCCTAATGATAATCTGTAATTATTATACATCACAGAATTACAGTGGACAGATAATTACATCCTAATCTGTCCCTCGGGACTTCACCACTAATCTTTCATATCGGTTTTGGTTAATTCGTGGTTATCTCCCATCTTTTACAAAATCAGTCTGCTGATTGTGAATGAATGTCGACTCTACATCAGACAATCCAGCTCACTATCGATTAAGAAGTTATCCTAGTGCTTTTAAATGTTGTGATATAATCCGTTACTGAAGTTAGATTAGCAAATATTGTACATCGACATACGTATACTGCACACAGCACAATTCAGTTTAGTTCGACACTTCTGAACTGTTGTGTTTTTGATAGTCCCCTTTTGATTAACTCACAAGGGCGACAAGATGACAAGGTTTTAAGGTTGATTTAATAAAGAAACAGGAACTAATTACAGTGGCAATATCTCATTATTAAAACAATGTAAGCCACGCTATTTGAATGTTTACATAATCAAGTGGTGACGTGAGCCTTCCATATATTACGGATTTATAACAGATTTAAAACAGTCCCTACAACACCTCCCTACTGAAAATAGATGCTAAACTTTAGCATCACAAACAGAGTCTCTCAATATGTTCTCTGGAACATATGGCACAGTCTTTGGTTTGGTTTGACTCTGAGCTTGTGGAGCAAGATCTACATCTAAAATCTCCATTGGATGATGATCTGTCATGAAATCAGAAATATTGTTTAATACATCACCAGGTTCATTGTCTTTCCTCAGTTGCATGGCGTGGCTGCAACTTTTCCCAATGTCGTCTCCACACTGGACCATGATGTATAACCTTGACGTTGAAGCATCCACAGGACGTTGGTGTTCTCCGATACTGCATCAAAAACTCTTGAAGTGCTTGGTTTGGTGGCAGAGAAGACTTCTTGAGAGCTTGCTTGAAAGTCTGCACCAAGCGTTCAGCTGCTCCATTAGTTGCTGGGTGGTATGGTGCTCCTGTCAGATGCGTTATCCCACGTTCCTTGCACCAGCTCTTGAATTCTTCAGAGGTGAAGGTTGACGAGTTGTCAGTGACTAGCGTGTGAGGGTATCCAAAATGAGCAGGTAAATAGTGGCTTTCGAGGACGTGGATGATTTTGGGTGAATGCATGGTTACTTGGAGTAAGCATCTGTTATCACAAGCCATGAAGTTGATTGCATGGTCCAGGTGTAAGCGGCTCCAGGGCTTCTCTGGTAGCATCCAAGGGTGAACTGGGGGCTTGGATGGCTTGTTCTGATGAACACCACACGAGTCACATCGTCGGCTAGCCATCCCAATAGCTGTATCGATGCCGGGCCAATAGACAGCGGTTCTAGCTAACTGCTTCATACGTTCCATGCCAAAGTGTCCTAAGTGCAACAAATCCAGTATCTTGGACTGCAGACTCTGTGGAATCACCACTCTCGATCCATGGACGAGACATCCATGACAGATGTTTAGTGAGTCAGACAACTTCCCGAACTTGTTGACTTCTTCATTGATCTCAGCACTCTTTGGTGGCCAGCCTTCACGGACGTAGCGCATTACTGCAGAAATTACTGGATCTTTCTCTGACTTTTTCTCTGGATTCCTTTGTGAAGCTGTCAAAGTCTTTGACACATTGGCAATTGGGCGCTCACTTCCATCTGGAAAGCGATGAAACAGGACTGCTCCAATTCCAACGTTGGACGCGTCACAAGACAATCCTAATGTTTTGCCTGGATCGAAGTGTACCTGGACTTGGTCCGAGGCGAGAACCTTCTTCAGCTCTTCAAATGCGGCTTGTTCTTCGTCTCCCCACTTTCTTAGTGAGGCGGTAGAGTGGTTCAGCAAAAGTAGCCAGGTTGTTGATGAACTTGGAGTAAAACTGTACTGAACCAAGGAAAGACTTCAGACTTGAGACGGCAGTAGGTGGTGGCATCTTCAAAACTGCTTCTACCTTTGATCCTTTCGAGATCCCCTCAGCCGACAAGGTGTGTCCAAGGTATTCAACGCTTGGTTGTGCGAACAGACACTTGTCACAACGACATCTGAGTCCTTTGTCGTTGATACGGATGAGCAAGTGTTTCAGGTTGTCGCTGGCGTCTTTTCCGCTAACTATCATATCGTCCTGGAAGACGGCAACCCCTGATAGATTACTAGTCAAGTTTTCATGATCTCCTGAAAGTAACCAGGTGCATACTGCATTCCAAAAGGAAGTCGATCTTGCAGGAGTACCCCACGGTGAGTGCTAAGTGCCTGCCTACGTTGGCTTTCTGGTGCTAGCTTTATCTGGTTGTAGGCATCAGCAAGGTCGATTTTGGTGTACCCGAATCCACCTCCAAGCCTTTGCATCAGTTCCTCTGGGAACGGCATTGGTTGACGATGATCTTCAAGCTGGTCGTTAATACCCACTGAGTAGTCACCACAGATCCGCAACTTAGGCTTCAAATTGCCAGAAATAGGGGTTTTACGAATTGGTACAACTGGTGTTCTGTATTCGTTGAACTGGACAGGTGTCCAGACTCCTTTAGCGATGCCTTCTTCATAACCCTTAGCCAAGTCATCTCGAAGAGCAAATGGAACAGGACGTGCTTTGTGAAAGTCTTGTTTCGCATCAGACTTGAACTTCACCTCTAGTTCGAAATCCTTGAGACATCCCAATTCCTCCTTGAAGAGATCGGGGAATTCAGAGGAATTCAGGATGTGTAGTTGAAACATCCTCACTCATGGCTTGACTCTCTATGCTCCTCAGTCCTAGAGCATTGTCCACAGAAATTCCTAAACTCTGGATAGCGTTGCGTCCTAGCAAATTCAAATGTGGAATCTTGGTGACAATGTAGGAATTAACCTCTGGTTACCAGTCACTGGATCCTTGGTTTGGCTCATGAAAGTTCCCAGCACTGGTAGGTCGTGCTTGCTGGCAGACTCGTAACGGTGTCTGACATCTTTGAGCTCCGGTTTTCCAAGTTGTCTCCATACCGGCAAAGTTATGAAATTGCCTGTTGTGGCAGTGTCCAGTTCCATGATGAACTGACGGTCCTGGATTTGGATAAGTACATCCAATTTTGGAGTTTCTTGGGAAACTTCACTTAGAATAGCTTTGACGATCTCTGCTTTTGTGATCTTCTTCACGGAAGGCTGCGATCGATCGCGTTTCCCGTACTGTTGTTTCTTTCTACAGACAGCTTCCAAGTGTCTTTGCTTGTCACAGTAATGGCATTTGGCTTCTTTGTAGGGACAGTCTATCGCTCTGTGGGTCTTTGTACATCGGTAGCACTTTTCTTGGTCTGTGGAAGTAGACAGATGTTGTTGTTTCTTGTGTGGACCCTTGTTCTTTTTCTGGTGCACTTTGTTGACGGACTTGGTCTTGGCAACCCTCGCCGCATCTTCGGTCTCTATGGCAACATCAATAGTTTTGGTAAACGTCAGTCCAGAATCTTTGATCTTGAACAGGGCCTTCAAGACAGCTTCATTGTACACAGAGCATATGAATCTCTGTCGTAGAGCTTCATCCTGGGGGTCATTGATCGAAGTAAAGTCACAGGTAGCCGCGTCATGACGAATTCGGGCTGCCAGCTCCAGTAGCGTTTCACCAGGCTTTCTTTGCATGTCGCTCCAGAATTTGAAACGTTCACGAACCACGAACAGTTTAGGGTCAAATTGTTCCTTCATGTATGTAAAAATTTCTTCCATCATTAACTTGTTGATATCTTTTGGCGGAGTTTGCTGCGCTGCAAGGTTGGCCAGTTGTTTATAGACGGCAACAGTTTGGTTGCTTAGAAAAACCTGAGCCTTACGTTCGTCAGGCACTGCATTGGCCGCTATAAAAGTACAAAAACGAGAACAATAGTCGGGCCACAGTTCTCGGGCCAGTACGTGGAGAAGAAGGATTTTCTTCATTTCTAGCGGTGGCAGCTTTAAGCTGAACAAGCCTCATAAGTTCTTCCATGTCTTTCTCATGCTGCTGTTGCTGTTGTACAAGTTGTCGCTGTTGTAACTCCAAGTCTTCTTTATGCTGTAGTTGTTGTTGAACAAGTTGACACTCTTGTAACCCAAGTTGCTCTCTCATCAACTTGATCAATTCCGCCGTTTCAGACATCTTTCAATCTCTCGTCAAAGGGAAGTAATCCTATCGGCGACGCCAAATTTCTATTGTGTTTTTGATAGTCCCCTTTTGATTAACTCACATCACAAGATGACAAGGTTTTAAGGTTGATTTAATAAAGAAACAGGAACTAAATACAGTGGCAATATCTCATTATTGCTTATAAGTACTATTATGTACAAAACAATGTAAGCCACGCTATTTCTCGAATGAATGTTTACATAATCAAGTGGTCACGTGAGCCTTCCATATATTACGGATTTATAACAGATTTAAAACAACATTAACACTACATATTTTTATTTTCACTACACTGTAAACTCCGAAGCAAGTTTGGTTCCGTATATCAAATAATCATAAAGATACATTTTGGATGGAGAAACATAATGTAGAGAGATGATATATTCAGCACAACACTCTTTTCCCTGAAAAACAAAAACACATATGATTACAACATGTTGTTCCTTCTGTTACCTGATTATACAGTATGTTGCCAGATATTTTAGGCCATTGTGAGAGAAAAAAATGTGTTTAAAAGTGTTAGCAGAACATTTATTAGTATATAAACAAACCTTTTTAGGCCTGAATTTACTGAAATCAAGAAGCCAATTCGGCCACATCTTGAGCAGGTAGTGGACTGGATCCAGTGGTAGAAATCGTTCACGTTGTTTATCATCAACAGTGTCGACAGCTTTGACTTTCAACCTCTCTAAACATGATCCAACCAGTACATCTTCATTGCCGACATCATGTACTTTACACGGGCTTCCTTCAGCAGCCAAACCAATCGTCACGAACCTTTTTAGAGCTTCTCGACTTAAAACGTACCCTGCCCCTCCACTCATGTATCCTTGTTTGAAATACCTCATGAAATTATGACCAAAATAAATCGGTTCTGAAGATGAAAAATTCGACACAAATTTTCGCAGATTTTCAACTACGATAAAAGTGTCGTCATCTGCTTTTAGGAACCAATCAAATTCTTCTAAATAATGATCGTGACAGTACCTAAAAGCTTTTGCTGTTTTTTTTGGTAGATGCTTTCTTCCTTCGGGAACGTCCAACTTTAATATAGAAAGGGTATCATTGGCTTCACTGCTGAAATATAATGTCTTATCACACCTACTACCCCAGGTATTTCTGACTGCCATCACATTCTTATGATTCTTTGGTTGTGTCAGAACCCAGCACAAAATTTTTGATTTTTTGACAGGAATTGAAGATCGGGAAGATGGTGCACTCTCTGGAACAAAGAAAGAAGGTAGATTAGAAATTAATCATTACTTTCTGCACAAAGTTCAAATACGTGAATAAAATATACCCTCTGATATACTTATTAGGATAATTTATTTGATAAGCCGTCAGAACAAATTCTAACTCAGTGCGAATACAAAACTTCCTTGTACAGGAAAAATTGTTATGATGTAAATTAATACTGAAATGTGGCTTTGGTGCATACGTATTTCAATATTGCCATAAGGTTTCTTTCAACCAACTTTGTATATTACGAAGTTGGCTATTCTTAATAATTTCACCTACCCGGATTGTTTACAAGTGCATCCATAGCCATTGTTCGATAATGTGTGGGATGGCGTAAACTTCTTTGATATAAAGCAATTATTACCAATGTCCAGATCATAGCCAATATAATCGCAGCAAATCTTGCTACCAAGGACTTCATTCTAACTATATCTACCGGTGCTAATATCAGGTCCTATATTCAACACAGATAACATAAAGATACTTAATGACTCCTTTCATATCGTTAAGAAGAAGTTAAAGAATCTGAACAACTAACTCAAATAAGGGCATGTTAATTTGCAGAAAACGATCTTACATATATTTTTTTTGTTTAAGTTATTAAAGGAATAAATCATATATCATAAATTGGGAAGAGACAAATAAATACTACATATCTACGAATGTCCACATCGTCACCTTATTCGTATCCATAAAACAAAAAAACCTTAAGGTGATATTTACGAAAACATTTCATACTCACAAAAAGTCAAATTTCCATTTTAAATTTTTTTTGTATAAAATCTTTTCCTTCTACTTTCTTCAAACTCGATATAAGTTTTGTTCATATGAAGACTTGGTATTACGTGTACAAATCCGGTAAAAATCCGTGTTTCGTTTTCAGCTCACTGATAAATAGTTTACCCCTTGGCTAAACTTTATGGTCCTTGATTTTATCACAGAATTAAATCGAAATTTTATACAGTACAGTTACATCGAATTTACAAATTAACCATGATAAAGTGATTGGCCACGATCATGTCGGCAGTGGGGGTCGCTCAAGTTTCTTCAGAAATTTAATTTTTTCCATGTTGGGTATGATGAGGAAAGATCATTGTTAACTGTAACCCTTTGCTAAGGAGATTTGAAAGAGGTTACTTTGTATGTATATCAGGGACACTGTTATTTAAGATTTTTGTGCTCCTCGCATTTCCACTAAAACTAAGTGTTTTATGACGAACATCATCAGTAGCTTATGCGATAGTGAAGTCATAAACGGTTAAGCATTTATATAGTGCTAATTATATATCTCTTTACTTTAATACAAGTTGTCTCCCTTTACAAACTAAAAATGTGCTCATCATGTTTTTAATGATCTTTGTAGTCGAGTAATTTGTAAAAAACTGTGACCTTGAGCAACAATCCAGCAAAATCATTTGTCGGAGCCTGCAGATAGGGTCATAATTTATCGGACTTAAGTTTAGCCCTCTTAATGTTCAAAATTCATCTGAAATGCTTTGACGTCTTGGGGTGTGGCGGGGGTTTGGGGGCAGCTCCATTTCCCTGGACCCCGGAAATGCGTTTTTCAACTAAGTGCATAATGTATTTTACAGAAGCTGAAAATATAAAAATAATTTGCAATATCAACTTTTAGGAAAAACGCTTTATATAAACCTAAATAAATAACCATCCTCAACTGAAGATATTTTTTACATCGATTGCCTTCCATATAATGACATACTAACAACTAGAAATTCTAGATAACACTAGTGGCGTTAGCTGTCCATAGACAACGATCAATAATTTGACCAGTATAGTGGGTTAGGTGACCACATTACATTATTTATTCAGCCTATATTTTAACAGGGTGGTATGCAGAACACATTTCGTTACCGTACATGCTACAATCGTTTCAGTGAATCTATAAAATTAAAGTTATCAGAAGATTATCTTCAAGTCAGTTTTCGAGTCATGAATATCATTAAGTTGTTATCTCAACTATGTTTACGAATGACCGATTTCCCTTTCAAGCCATTTGTTTATAATGTGTAGTTATTTATATTGGCTAACCATAAACCTGTATTTTGATATCGGATTTTTTTAATGTTCAATAATAACACCTTATTATACTGCTATCTTCAGGCATACGCTCTATCACTACATATAGTATGTAATTATTTGGCTTTTCTACTGCTGCTCATCGGGACAGCTTGTGAAGACAACTGATTAGCAAATATGGTGTCCAATATTTGGATATGAGGCCTGTGTGAAGCGACCTCTCAATGAGAAGTGAAGTACGGAGACTTAAGACACAAATCTCTATGACAAGATTTCTTATACTAGGTCCACATGTTTGTTGTATTTTTCATATATGTTTTGAAATACGTTTTTTTTTTATTTTATATTTTCAGAACTGAATGAAATATAAGTATTCCTAGAATGGAGAAAGTGGGGGTTAAAGCCGGGAACATGAAGATAGAAGCTACTTCAGGAACTACAATGCATCGTATAGAGAGCTTTCATGAAGAATCACTGATTATCATTACTAAAGCATTGCGTCACGTGGCTGATGACCTATATGGACACTACGCCTATAAACCGCTTTACAAGGAGTGCTTATTTGTTATTTTCCAATCCGTTGTGAGATTGGGTTCGTGATTGATAATAAAATAATTGTTAATATTCTTTTCACAGCATTTCCATATTATTATGCCATTGATTTTTGTTTGACAAATTGAACAACGTATATACATTATAATTATGTCGATGATGCACATTGTGAAAACTGTTTAAAATATTGTCCATATTCTTGTGCCATATATTACCTTCGCTTTGTTTAATTTATTAAAATTACTTCCAAATGATGTCAAGATTTATGACTGTAGATTTATGAAATTAGGTTATTGTAATATGTGCACGTCCGGTGATTATTGAAATCATAAATAAGAGCAGTCGATTTTGTGTTGGGGTAGAATAAGTTGTTATGTTACCTGAATAAAAAGTGGACTGCTTCTGTATGTAGTTTTAATCGCCCTGAATGTCTCCGCATTGAAGAGTTATACAGATGCTGGAAAACATGCCTATGGTTACTTACAGGATTAATATGACATCCTGTTCTATCATGTTAAGAAGTACATGGAGATGATGTAGCTCATAGTATCTACCATTATAACCAACATGTAAGCATCCGGTCACTGCAGGCTGTATGCGTTAAAGATCCTTCGACAGGTGGAATGAAAAGAAGTAAGCTAATGCCGCTGCGGCGTTGGCAAAATTTGACGAGTTGTACACCTTAATTAGACAAATCATTTGCAGAAAAGTAGGACGTAATATTCTATTTTTTTACGTGGTTGTCTCCCTTTGACGATTCAGAAATTGTGCTCTGAGAATCTAACACCTGCTTTAAAGGTCTTATCTTAATTCAAGCCATGGGCAATAATGTTTCGAAAATAATTTGTCTTAGATAAGATTTAACTAGGAAATAGAATGTAAAATTTACACCAATGGACCTCTCGTATTTGTATTATGGGATGTTCTGGTTTTCGTGTTTGTTGGTGTCCACTGTATCTGCTGAGTTCAGCTATGAGGAAGTAACATACAGAATTCCACCAACTCCAACAGGTTTTTATGATCAAAGTAAGTGAAGGGAAATATTGACTAATTTAATAAATTTTCCTCAAGATACCATAAAAGCAACAACCCATTGTAAACACGAGCCTTCCTAATTTACTATCAGATCTGCACGTTCTTCTGCCTTTGTTGTGCTGCATCTGAAATTGAGAAATTGGGCCACTAAAAAGCTGTATCCAGTGTAAGGATAAATACCAGACGCGTGGTATAACAATGGTATGTGTAAGCCTCTTAAATCATCACCGTCATTACTAAAGTAATATCAAGCATTCTGAATTTGACTTGTTGAATAGATTGACTTCTAGTCTAGATTTTCGTCTTGATTTTGCAAGAGTTGCTTGGAAGACTAAGTGTCTCAGGAATAAAATGATTTGAACATCCCGTGACACGTCCCCAAAAAACTCATGCGATATCGTCGAAGATTGTCAGATTAACGGCATTGTTACCTAAGTACTGTTTCCAATACAAGAGAAAAATGTTTACATTATCTTTGACCTAGATTGTACAGACAAAATATCAGATTGTGAAGAATTTGGTATAGCCTCCTGTTTTAAGCCTTACGAAAGCTGGGCAAGAGAAAACTGTGCCAAGACGTGTGAATTCTGCCAAGGTAAGATGTTGCGTATAAGCAAAATAAGAATGATAATGGAAGACTACCAGCATACCGTTTAAGCCATTCACGCAGTGCCATGGCAAGATGCTATGTAATCTAGCATTTTCATGTACAGTACGTTTAAATAAAGTTAGAAAGGGACCATTTCAGGCAACGTTTTGTGGGTTGTAGCAATTTTCAATTATACATGCTATTGTTTTGACTAGAACCAGGCGGATATACAGCTGGGAAATACCAAAAATGAACCCCATCTGAAAATAGTACCACATTATGGAACTGGATTGATGTGATGCCAGGTGATCAGCCATTGTTACACACTTAGGATTTGGTAGATTACAGTCTGAAACTTATAAGCTAATGACAAAAAAGAACTAAATAATGTTTCCCTTTTCAGGCAAACCAGAGAAACCACCGACATGTACTGATGTCGAGAAAGGCTGTGATCTCTATACTACCTCAATCTGTACAGATCCAAGCTTTATAAGCTGGGCAAAGGCGAAATGCAGGCGATTTTGCAGAATGTGTCCAGGTGAGCTAAAACCCATAAAGAGTTTGCGAGGGTTTTATGTTGTTAGTTACCCTTGGGGATCAATATGCTGTAGAACTTTAGTGCTTACTCGTTGTTCTTAGTCTCTATGATATATAAGCAAGCCACCTATATTAGCTATGTGCTCGCTAACACCACCCACCACAGTAGGCCTACTTCGTCATAGGCGGGCTCAAATAAGGATTGACCGCGGTCATAATCTTGTTTATCTGTTCCAGTTTCCAAACCTCACCATATGCTAGGTTCCTATATAGAAGATATTATATTTTTTCAGAGCAAGTTCTAGCTGAACTAGATTTAATGACCACTACACTTACACCAGTCGGTAAGAAACTGAATCAAACACGTGTAAAGTGGAACTGTCAGCAATTATACAACCAAGCGTTAGGAGATCAAACCATTACCACTGGGCAAAATTTCACCCGGAGAAATTGCACAAGAAGAAAACTTTCTTGTCCCAACTCCTTTGTCGATTTGTGCGCTTGACATTTTTTTCCCAACAACTGTTTACATTTATATTTTATTGAATGGGGCCTCTTCGTGCGTTTTTCCAAAATATAATATATTTCAAAGCTTATATACTTATATACTTCCATACTTTTGGATCGAAACCTGGTTTCTGCTTTTAAAAACCTACACATATCATATGTAATAAGTAGCCTATGTAAATTTCAATATGTGCTACTACAAAAAGAAGATGTATTTTTATTGCAGATTGCTTTGATAAAGTGGTGTGTGAACGTTATGGTAAAAAAGCTTGTACAGGAGACTTTGCAAGCTGGGCCACAGACAACTGTCAAAAATATTGTGGATTCTGTTCAACAGGTCGGAGTAATAAATATTTACAGCTATCTAAGACCCAAATAATTGACTATATTGGAGCATTATGAAATATTAAAACTGTAATAACGTTTAGATCACATCTTGACGTGAACGCGGGGATCAGGTTGGACTGCTGCCAAATCTCATGCTGGTCAATAACTCTGAACCTGAAAAAGGTTTCAATTCCTAAATACATGTTAACACATCGACATGCAAATCTTAATAATACCATCTTAAATTCATACTATATCTATCATTTTTTATAGGTGTAACCAAATCTAAAAGACTCTGTGTTGATAAGCTACCAAATTGCCCACAATATGATTCTAGAATTTGTACAGATAAAAAATACTACTCTTGGACTGATGAAAATTGTCGTTCTACATGTAAATTCTGTCAAGATAGTGAGTACACATTTTAGTCTCTTACAGATACAGATATGTTCTTCTTTCAAATTTCTTATCGTTTATACGGGAAGCCAGTGGGAGCCCCTTGACGGCTATGTCCCCCCTTATTCGACCCTCCTATTAAATGATTCATAGAAACGCCAAAGATTATGCCTTTATTATTGTATTTGGTTCTTTATAGTTTTAATCGTCACTTCGCTTAAATTTGAGCTTCGAAACACCAAATTGCTCTGTGTAAACTATGTGATCTAGTCTTCAGCTTCCATCATGTTTTGGACGCATTTAAAGCTTTCAAATATGTATTCCCATTGTCTTATTTTTTATTTCAAGAACTTGTTCCATTCCTGATACCTACTCCACAAGCTGTTCGTACTCCAAAACCGCCAACAACATAAAAAGACTAACCAGTTCAGAATCAATGTACATAAAAATAAAATTATTTCAAAATTCATGTATCTCTGCTATGTTTAGTGTGGGTAGCCCTATAATAAATATTAAACTATACAGCCTAACAAATTATCCGGCAATACATTGATAGCCCATTTTCAGAGAGAATCGACACTTTCGCCCTTGTTAGCTCGACATAATAAGCTGGCCCAATACGTTCCATGATATACACATGATATACAGATTGGATATCGGCGCATTAACATGTCAATATCTCATCCGGATAATCCGTCCGAGAACAGACCCAGACCCCATGCCTCAAAGGGCTTTGTCCCTTAAGACTAAGGCGGAGTCTAAGTGAGACACCTCTCATTTCTCACGCCCAAGGAAGGCACATGTTTAATCGACTATTGACCTTTGCCTCTCTCAGCCCTATCAGACCTAGATCTACTACTAATAAGTTGTTTTATATCAAATTTGAACATTTCTCTAATAAAAAAGCCTCGGCCTTGTCATTGCAGTCAATGCAACCAATGTCAAAACAATTTTATGGTCAAAAGGGGGAAACTCTTGTTTTCTTAATGGTAGAGTTATTTCCCTTCCTTCTAAAGACTGGATAACGAAACAAACACTGTTTATAAACACATTCTGTTTTGTAAAAAGAAGATCTTAAAGAACGTATTTAGGTTTGAGAATTAGAAAACATCTTGTAGTTCTAAAATGGGAGTTGTAGAAGTTTATGTTGAATATTGGTAAACTGATTTTCATTTTATAAACAAGGTCTAAATTTTTATTTAAGTTGTGATTCAGTTAATGAATTTATTAGTGCTACGTAGTTAAACTTGTATTATCCAATAGTTCCCATTTAGGCCTTAATTTATTTTTCAAAGGTTTTAATATTTTAACGAAGTAGATTTGTTAGATCTACACAAAAAAATGTCTATTTAAGAATACCTACGGGCTTCAGTCTACAGTACAGCAGTAACCAAGTAAACAATGACAATTTACAATTGAAGATTATAGAATTTCAATTTGAATGGAACTATTGTCAAGAAATGGATTTTATATCAAAGATTATAATAGCTAAGCTTATACAGTAGGCCTATAGCATTGAAATATACAGTCAAGTAACCTAATTTCGTGGAAACCTATTATTCGTGGATTTCCGGAAAGGATTAATAATTTACATGAGCGACCTTGCGCGACCTCCGCATTAGTTTGTTTTGATAAACATGGGTTTTCTCTACAATATCAGTTAGTTGAATGAATCCAGTAGTTTCAAGCAAGGTAAAATGTATTAATGTATACTTTGACAAATACAAAATGGCGGAATTCAGTTATTACCAAACGTCACCATTTTTTATCGGTCGAATTTCCTTATAATCCCAAGCGGTAATCGGAATTCCAAGTGTCGTCTGCTAGAATGTAGTCCAACGAATGAAGTCACGTGATCAACTAGCAGATTCCGTGTCAGCGGAAAATTTCTACGGAACACAAAGTGGACCGTATTCTTATGTTATTTCACTGACTTTTAGCAATAAATCACGCTACGTATCTTATTTTGTCAGTCACAATTTTTTTTTCAAAATCGTGGTTCTTTGAAGGAATTGTCACTAGTTATAATGAATTGATATTAAAGATAAATACTAAGAGAAGTTAATTATTCCGCCCGGTATCTATACAACGTATTTTTCTCGACTTATTTATAGATCAAACATTGTACACGAAAATAGGTGACGCATTCTGCCGCCGTTACCGAGTTGGTTGCTCATGAAATATAGGTCAAAGTGAAGGATTCATTAAGAAAATCGAAATAAACCAATTTTAATTATTTTGTAGAATATTTGAGGACACTTCTAAATTTTTTTTTTTTTTGTTTTTTTAACTTTGATGAAATTCGGTGTTGAATCCTTATATCCACGAAAATAGGTTACACCACTGTATATATGAAGAGTTTTATTTTGTTGGCTTTGTTGTCAAATGCTTAACTTACCTCTTATACCGGTACCTGTCCTGAAGTAACATTAATCATGGCACCAAAATTCAGATATTTATCTTAAGTTATATGGTTGCTTTCCATTATTGGTTGGGCCTGAATTGATTTTTTTTATTTATATTTCAGTGGATCCTGAGGTTACGAACCTCGGTACCGAGAACTGAGGCAAGAACTCTTGACACAGTTTTCACCATCCGAGGTTCATATCAATGGTGGTGTGGGGCAAAGATGTGAGTGTGCTCAGTTTGAACTCAAAATTAAGTACCGAATAGTTAACCACAGTGTTTCAAAGACATAACAGTCTGTGTTCTAAGGAATAGATGTTCAGAGAAGACATATTTCCATTCATTCTTTTTTTTTCTGTTTCCATATTTCTCAATTTAATTTTATTTAATTCCCAAATATTTCCAAGATATGTATTCTGTTATGTTATTTTTACAGCAAGCTTTGAAGTTACTATCAATGGTAAATTGGTGTTCTCCAAGTTGAATTTATCAGGTTTCCCAATCACAAAAGATGTATGTTGTTAATTTAATTTAGTTTGAAACATTTTAACTTGATCTGATCTTACCTATGATATATTTTATTCCATTAAACCATCAAACAATTTTTCATTGAAATTTTTCTTTACAGAAGGCAAATTGATTTTGGGACACTTTTTTCATCAAAAACCTTCCATTAATGTTTTCAAAAGCATGTAACCACATAAAACCAAGAGAGAAAATTTTGAATATATGAACCCACCTGAATGAAATTTTTTTTTTCTATTTCAGGTAGCTGAAGCCATCAGAGAAGCACAACAAAATTTAGAGCCCAAAGTCATCACTGATTCTAAGAGTCCAGGGTGTACAATACTCTAATTAGATGAGCTCCCTTCGACCTTTAGCTTTGAATGATTTGATTAGCAATGGATGAAAATATGCACTGTCGACATTTTCTTTTGCCTATCATTCAATATTCTTATATTTTCTATATTATAGATGTCACAAAGTCTCCATCATGGAAATTAAACTAGATGAGATTTTTTTTATATCATTCCATGCTCATAAATGAAAATGTCTTGGCTCAGCTTCTTCTCTCCATCAAAAGTTTTGCTCAAATTCTTTTACACAACTTTCTAGTATAGGTTTGAGTTTTGATTATTTTTATTGTATTATTAATAGATACAAGGCTAAAGGTTGAAGGACAAACATCTCGGTGGAAAGAAAAATTATTTTTGACTTTGATTTTCTTATAAAGAAATCCAGAGTAGATTATTTATGAAGGTTTAATGCTAAATAAAGCCTGGTATGAACCTGATGCTCTCAATCAATTCTGATTTTATTATGACAAAATATTATTACAAATAATTTTTCTTTAGTTTATATTATATATCATTTGATCTACTGCACTATGTTATAAAATTTTATTTTTATTAGTTAAATGTTTAACTTTTTATTAAATAGCTGATAAAGCACGAGCAATTTCAAGTCTCTTAATGTAAACAAATTTTGATCACATCATAGCTAGCATCTTTTGCTTGAAAAAATTTGATCTGTTCGAATATTTTGTACACTGGGGTACTTTCATAGTTCATATGTGTATAGCTTAAAAGTACATGAAAATATGATTAATATTTTGTTGGATAAATATAAAAACAATTTGAAGCTGAATAATTTGTGAATATTAGCTGCTTTGACCCAATTGCAATCAAAAACAGAATGGCAGACTGGGGAAACTCATGGAGAAAAAACTCCAAAAGTTTGTCCCTGTCTATAATGCACGCTTTCTAGTTTGAAAAGCTTTTTTTAGGTATAAAATATTGTGCACTATTCAAATATATTTGTTACATCTGCTTGTTAAAAAAAATTGTACAGGTCAATTTATCTTTTAAATGTGTACAGATATTATTCAATAAAATTATTCAACAATGTAAATTCCATCATAATAATTTACCAAATTACCAAAATTACCAAAAGATGTAAATATTGTTTGTCACAATTTATATGAAATCATTACAAATACCTCTGTAATAAATGTGTATTAATTTTCTTGAGCAATTAAAACTTATTCCTTTATCGTGGAGTTTAGTTTTTCTTTGATTAAACACAACTGGCATTTCTGTACATTTTCAAGTCAATGCCAGCACAAGCCATTTAAGTCCTCCTATCCTAACAGAATTAGTTTTAACATCTGCAGTCCATTAAAAGGTTCTCTGAAGATTACTAATGGTTGTAAAATCTTATGCTTGATCCTCCATGATTAACACTGAACAATTTGACCTTATCAGGATAAATAGGTCTTAATGACCTGATAAATGACTAGTATAATTATAATACAGTGATTCACATTGTTTTTAAACAAGAATTTAAAGTAAGGTATGAGATATCCTGTTTAACCCACTTTCAAACTCAAAGCTTGGAATCCAGATAAATTCATACTCATGACAGTCTATGCCAAGGTACTATCTTATTAGGTCGTTTCCAAAATAACAATTCCAATTAGACTTGGCTATGATAGAAATGACTGTACTGGATTTATAATCGTCCTTGGATTGTTCTGGATATTTTCGTTCCGTTATATGTGTCTTGAAACCAAATCCTAACTTTTAACACTTTAGAGTTATCCCCCTTTATTAGCATTACACGCGAAATCTATTTTTGTCAAAAATTGTAAATAAAAGCCTAGAAATTGATAAAGAATGACTGGAACTGTGAGGGCTTTGACTGACGATAGTCAGTTTCAAGTAGAACTGACAAATGCTGGACCAAAATTAGTTGTAGTAGACTTTTTCGCTACTTGGTGAGTATTCTGATTCATAATCGACATTGTTTGGGTGCACGTTTACTGATGTTGGTAGATTTAGTTTCCCATCCAACTAACCTATCGATGATTCATTGTATCCAATTTCATTTGCCCACAAAGTGGCCCATGAATATTATATAGTTTTAGTAGTCCTAGTAATCTAGTAGTACTATTTACTTTTGTACAACTGAAATTACAACACTTTGCCTCTCAGCCTATTTGTTTGTAAATTTGAATTTATTTTAGGTGTGGACCATGTCAGAGAATAGCACCAATATTTGAAGAATTTAGCAGTAGATATCCCAGAGCAGTCTTTTTGAAAGTAGATGTTGATAAATGTCCAGTAAGTGAATTGGATATACGATAGACAACATACGCTTTGTTCATGCATTTTGGAACGAATTTACATCATCAGGATAGATATATTTATGGACTACTTTTAATTTAAGTTGAAAGTTGAAAAAAAAAAAAAAGAAATTGAATTTACATAGGAGGGGCTTAGATGTTCAGATACTTTGATCTTGAAGCCAATCCAGCTGCTAGAGTTTAGGACTCTATAAGTTATTGTTTTTAATTTTATAAATTTTATTGTATTTCAAACTGTTTTCTGTTTTCAGGAAACAGCTCAATCACAAGGTGTATCAGCTATGCCAACATTTATATTTTATCGTAATAAAGTTAAGATAGATTCTTTGAGAGGTTCAGACTCAGCTAGTTTAGAAGATAAAATAAAGAATTGGTATGGAGACGAAGAAGGGGAAGAAGATGCTGCTCCAGTTAAAGGACATGTAAGATTTTTATTTTTACATGTCGCATTGTCTTATTTGCCAGTTGAGTTCAAATCTCTTACAATTACAAGCTTCTATAGGATGTCAAATATTGGTTGTTGGACATCGAGTGTCATTCAATGTGGATCAAAATCCAAAGATTAATGACTATTATTGTTGGTATACAAAGCCATAAATGAGTTACATGCCTTAGTTACATATTAAATGAAGTAATGGGCTTCACTTCAAATTGTACATATTGATAAGAATGGATGATTATGATCCATAAGGTGATTTGGAAGAATATTACTTCTTGTAGTGTAAATGTACCTTTAAAATTGAGTTGGTTAATGGTAGTTTGATAGGGTATTTTTTTTTTCTAATTCAGATGGATTTATCATCATTCTTATTGAAATCAGAATGTGAATGTTTAAATGACAGTGATGAACACCCCTACACTCATGCTTTAACGACAAAAGGTGGATATTTAGAGTCAGATTGTGATGAACAGGTAAAAGAATAACTCAAAAACTAAAAAGAAATCAGCCTTCAATGGATTCCATTACTTATTGGTATCTTATTATGTTGTAATCCAAATTTAAGTTCTTATCCAATTGTTTTTCAAGGAATATTTCAAGATATTAACCATCCAATTGCCATATTTTTTGACAAAAAGTAGATGATTATCAATTGATATTTTTTTTCAGATAATTATTCAGTTTGCTTTCAATCAGGCAGTGAAAATACATTCTATGAAAGTACAAGGACCAAAAGGTATATTTTGCTCAACATTTATTTTAATACATGTTTCATAATATTTGATGGCTGTCAAGAGATGTTTCAATGGTATTGTAACAATGGCGAATTTGACATGTATATCGGGTTCCTGTTATCTGTGTTCCTCAATTCATCTCAAAGCAAAACAATTGAAATTATGATATTCATTTGACAAATACTGGATTCTATAACTTTAATGGTAAACTAGTTGGACACATGCTTGTGCATATTTTATCTTTTTATTATTTATTTTTCTAAGCTATGAAACATTGTTTTGTTTTGTTTTTAGATAAAGGTCCAAAAACATTGAAAATATTTATCAATCAACCACATACATTAGATTTTGATCAAGCAGAGTCTATGAAACCTGTACAAATAGTAGAGTAAGTCTTTAGCCTTTTCTTAGACTCATTTTGAGTTACCAAAGTAGAAGTGGGTTGACTTAAGATCTGATAGTTAAGCAAAGACAGTTCTTAGTGATTGTTTATTTTGTTTCCTGAAATGTGTTATTGTATGAAGATACAGACTGCTTTAAAAACTTTTTTATTTAGTGAAATATTAGTTGAATAAAGAGTGTATTAATATTTGAAGTGTATAATTTGTCACACTAATCAAAGAGGAATGTGTATTTTGCAGATTAAACCCAGAAGACCTAACAGAAGGCTTGGTATCTTTAAGATTTGTGAAATTCCAGAATGTACAGACATTAACAGTAAGTAATGATCTTTTTATACCAGTAAATACTATATTCTATAGTATGATAAATTTACTATTGATTCTCTTTTGTGAATTGTATGTTGATGAAAACAATCAATACCATGCAGTGTACATAGGGTAAATTTTGTAAGGACAAAAAGGGCTTCTGTCCTTACAAAATTTACCCTATGTACACTGCATGGTATTGATTGTTTTCCTTAACAGGAATTAATTGCTCTTTATTTTTAGGTTTTTATAAAAGATAATCAAGAAGGAGGGGAAGTAACTCAAGTAGACTATATTGGTTTTGTTGGTAGTCCAGTTAGTTCAACTAATATGGCAGATTTTAAAAGGGTGAGTAACACTAGAGTTATTTGATAGAAACTTTCGCTTATTTTGGCCTAGTGTGAAAGAATCCAATGAATGTATTCGCTCAGCTAGCGACAAAGCTTGGAAAGATGAAGGATACTTGTTACTTTGAGAAAGAAAATAATTGCTAAAATCTTCATGTGGTAACCTGAATCTCTGTTTAACTCCTAATTATTTTTGTCGAAGATATATATTGATGGTTTGCTATTTATAATTTCAGGTTGCTGGAAAGAAAGGAGAGAGTCATTAATAACATGGTGGAATAGATGCTGATTTCTGTTTTATGTTGCATAACATTTTGAATCTTCTTCTTATATTATGATATAAAACCTTCACATAAACCAACCAAAACTTGAAACTCTTAAAGGACTATTCTAAATAATATCACATCAAAGTTATCATTTGGCCAATAAAAGTGTAAAAAAAAGAATCAAATTTTGAATTTGCTTCATGCTAAAATTCTTGTTATTCCATCTTCATGTCACTTATTGTTATATGAATATTTATTTTATTGTCAATGAATGTACAGATTAAAATGAATTTAAGATAATTTTTTTTTTCTTAAAAGAAACTGTCCACAGCTTGTAAGAAAGCTGTCTCGAGTGAAACCTTTGTCTAGTATTCCAAAATGAATTAAATATACACACTATTTATGCAAGACAATAATTAACCAATAAATGAAGCTTAACTATCTCACACTACGAAAGCGTGATTTGAAACGGCTGTAGTCTGGATTTCTCTTAAATAGAGTTACGTCCCTTTGACTACACTTTTCAACCGGAAGTTTAGCAGTTCAATGGCTGCCTTGATGAAGAAATAATAAAAATGTTGGAGTGAAACAAGAAATTACAACTACAAGTTACATTTCTACTATTCGCTGCTATTCTCTACGTTCTTTCGAAGATCATACTGTCCTATTTTGGGCCAGATAAAAACTCATAAGAGTCGCAATTTCCATCTACGAGTAAGGGGTTTTCCAAAATGTTTTGATTTTTGATTCATGTGCTAATACTAGTAATAGTAACTGCCTGATGCACTGTCTACAAACAAGTACAAGCACAAAACAAATACGATCGCAATATTTATTAGATCTAAACCTTGCTGAATATATTGACTTGTTTCTAGTGTAATAAAAAATCAAGCTATATCAGACATATTTAAGTCCTTGTCATGTAGAAAAACTCATAGATTTATCATTCTTAATTGTGTAACTCAACCTAAGCTCATTTCTGGCCTTCGAATGCAATACAGAATAATGATAGGTCATATCTAAACACGACCTAATGCTGATGTAATGGCCAGCACTTTCAGTGTCTCCATCTTTCCTCTTAACTGTTTGGAGGTCAGATCATTATCTTAGCGTGACTATTTTTTAAGTGATAGTGATAGAAGTAGATCCTAATATTTGGTCATCTAAAACTTCCTCTTAGTCTTGATCTTGAATTGTTTAGAAAATAAAATTTATTGTAGATCAGATTAGACTTCAAAACTATGTTGTTAACTGCACTTAGTAACTTCACAGTTAATTTATTGCAGAACTGATATGGCATCTGAAGTCACACTTGATGCATTTGATGTGATGGCAAGTTCACCTACAATGACAAATAAATCTGGCAAAAAGTCCTGGGATGAGTTGAGAAAATCTGTTCGAGATTCCACCAGACTGCTGTCACACTTAAAGAGCACAATACCTTCAGCATTTGTATTTCGTAACTATGAAACTGATAATGGTACAAGGACTAGGATTTATTTTTTGGGTATTCCTAAACATAGTCGAGAAAACACACTGCTGTTTATGGATCTACCAAGCCATGAGGAGACAGAGAAAGGTGATTTTGTGCCTCAAATATTAGATTGGGAGCTGTTATTAGAATCGTTTGAAACAGCATCAGGAAAAGGACAGTTATCACGTGAAGAACAGTTAATGAGAGAGAGAAAAAGACTAGTGTTATATGGTATTACATCATTTGATGTTAATGAACATCAGGCCTTGTTTGTCTTCCCTGCTAATAATAATTTATATCAGTGTAGTGATATAGGAAATGTGGTAAGTTCTTCAGATTGATAACAATAATTTTTAACATCTCTTCAGCAACCTACATGACATTTTTTTTTAATGTTGCATTTTTGGTTAAGGGTACATCAACCTATGCATAGCTACGTATTTGAAAGTGCGGTCAACTAGAAAGTGAATTCATTGAGAAATATATGAGACTATGAAAGCTTTGTTTACCAGTACTTTTATTATCTCACTAGTAATTTTGTTGTTCGGTCACTTTTCAGCAAGCCCCAAGGAATATAGCACCCAAGCCTATCAACACCTTCTGTCACAGTGCTAGAATGGATCCTAAAATCTGTCCCACTGATGTGGATTTAGTTGCCTTTATTCATGATAATGATGTCTGGGTGACCAATCTTCAGACTGGGTGTGAAAAAAGACTTACGTTTGCACATAAAGGTAAGAATGATAACTCTGTTTGTTATAATTGAAAAATCAAATTGAACTCTTCAAGATTAAAGAGTGAATGAGAGGATTATTATTCCAAGAATATAGAAACAGAGGGAATTATTCTGTCTGTTATTGTATCAAAGCATCTCCAGTGTACTGGCAATGAGACTTCTTCTTTGCATAATACAACAAACATCTGTATATCTAAGGCAAAAACCAATTATAAATTATCATCTTGCCGAATTAAAAAAAGCACCAATAGGAACACTGTTATCTTTACCAAGGATACACCCTTGTCATTGATAATTCAATATAACTTCAGGCACTGGTCAGTTATCTACAGATCCTTTAAGTGCTGGTGTACCTTCATTTGTTATTCAAGAAGAATTTGACAGACATACTGGATATTGGTGGAAACCATCCTACACTCCCTCTACCTCAGGTAAACCTCCAGAATGTACCATATAAATTAAAAGAAAAATGTACATGTATTGATTGTACTGGATTAGAACAGATCTCAGATGTGCGTACATTGGTTTTCAGCAATTACTCATGAAAGCGCTGGCCCAGGTTACAAGTTGTATATGTTTTTCAGCCTCAGTTAAAACATACCAAGTATTATATGAAGAAGTAGATGAATCCGAAGTTGAGGTTTTAAATTTATTCGCTCCATCAACAGAAGATCATGGTATTGATGAATATCGATACCCTCGTGCAGGTTGGTAGAATTTCATTTATTTTTTTAGATTTGGAGAATTCATATGTATAATTCATTGTGTTTATAAGAAAGATCTACTTGAGGTTAGAGAAAGCTTGTGAATAATAATAAATAATGTTGAATTGCAGGTACAACTAATGCCAAAAGTAGTTTAAAGATATTAGAGTTTGAAGTAGATGGCCGTGGAATGGTAAGTGTACTTTAACCTTGCACTGAGTGTAAATAAAAAACCTCATAAAGTGAACTTCAAGTTATTTAACTCTCAGTGTATGAAGTTATGTGATGCAATAGTCGTTTCACAGTCTTTTGTTATTATATTTGGTATATCAATCTGTTTTGATTATAGATATTAGATACTATGATAGAAAAACAACTAAGAGAACCACTGTGTGAATTATTTCCCTGGTATGAATATATTGTCAGAGCTGGCTGGACACCTTGTGGCAAATAGTAAGTGAATATTTTTTTTTATATCAGTTGATACAAAATTCTTAATTCCGAAGTGGGACTGATCAACAGAAGATTCTGTGTAATCCAATATCTATTCAGCTTAATCACTTTTTGTGAATTAGAAAATTGCTACTACTAGCCATAGTGAAAGAGTTAATCCCAGGTGAATTGTTAAAGAAGTTTATTATCTATTTATTTACAGTATATATAGTCATCTATTAGATCGTAAACAAGAGAAAAGTGTGTTGCTATTGATACCAATAGATAATTTTATACCAGTACAATCTGATATTGATATGTCTAATGGTACTGATAATCTACAGCCTATTCAGATATTATACCAAGAAACTTCACACATCTGGATTAATGTAAGTTGGGATAATGTTGAAGAGTAGTATAGCATTTTTAAAATCAAAATCACCTTGAAATTTTTAATTGAATTCTTATTGAAATCAACTATAGAAATGATACTTTCTCTTCAAAGAGTCAACAAAGCTAGAATTGTTTATGTGGTATATATTTATTTTAGTGAGAAATTTATGTTATTACCGAGGTAATAGCCAGACTGATATTCATTTTTGTTCTGCTTGACAAATTTAATAAATATTTGAAAGATACTCTAATGTGCCCTATCCATCCTGAAGGATATGTTATTAGAAATATTCAAACAGAATCACAGTATTTTTATCTTATCTCTGTTTATTTCAGACCCATGATAACTTACAGTTTTTACCATCAGAATGTACTGAAGATAGTTTAAGTTTTATTTGGTCTAGTGAACAATCTGGCTATAGACATCTATATTATATACAAAGTGAAATCATACATTCTACAACATCTAGTTTAAATTCTTCTAATCAAAGTATGGAATATGATGATAAACCAGGTAAGGAACAGTTATTAGGTATTGACATTTATTCCTTACCAAATCTTGTCATGTTTATGTCCATAACTTTTTTCAAAAACAAATATTTCAATTATCATTTATTTCAGTTTATTTTTTTTTCAATTTATCATTTACTTTAGAATGTCCAGAATGTAATAAATTACAAGAAAAACAGATAACTCAAGGTGACTGGGAGGTCTTATCTTTACCAGTAAGTATTTCACTGTTACTAACTGTTTATTTTTGTATGATTTTGTACACTATAACTGTTTTGATCTCTAAAGCCCAAATGAGAAAAACTGATAATATAACAATGAACAAAGCTATAATATAGTTTTGAATATGAAAAAATGTAGGACGTTAAACTTCATTCATTTCATTTCATTTCATTTGAATAGGAACAATAGACTATTAAAGTGTAGGGCCCCAAGATTTCCTGAACTACCCTAAAAAAATGAAATATTGTCCATGGTACGTAGTATGAAAGATGATTTTTTTTATAGGTATGGATTGATGAAGAGAGAAAAATAGTATATTTTACAGGCCTTAAAGATACACCTTTAGAGACACATTTGTAAGTTTACCCTATTTGGTTGAATGCTTTCGGGGAACAATGTCAGATGTCTTTGTTCTATCATATCATATTCCATATTCTCGCAAAAGTGTAATCCCAAAGTCAAACATTAGTACAGAGTTGAGAAATTATCTTCACCCAATTCAATCCTTTATTATTTGCCGTATTTTAAGAAACTAATAATTTTTGAAATACTACATAATTTTCCATTTTTATCCAAGCATTATACTAAAATTTCCTTTTGTGATTTCAGATATTATGTGTCATATACCAATCCAGGTGAACCTATCAGACTAACAACGTTAGGTTATAGCCATTCTGTTACTATGGATTCTGTAAGTTTACTTTATTTATATATATATACCTACCTGATGGCTGCTTCATGGATTAAAGATACCTTGACAAAGAAAAAAAGAGTCGGTCACTGCCATAGCATAATTCTCCACCCACCACACTGTATTTTGTTGTCTATGTTTGATATTCAAATAAGGAGAATAAAAGTAGAACATAGAACTCAATTGGGTGTAAACTTTATTAGAGCAGGATTTCCATGAATAAGGCAAGAAACAAAGCTTTGAAATATTATTTACATGTTATATTCTATTTTTTGTTATTTTGTAGAATTTATCTATGTATGTTAGTGTTTATAGTAGTTTACAACAATCACCTAGGTCAACAGTTAATAAACTTATATTTAATAATAATAATACTATTACTACTAAATGTCTTGCTGTTTTAATGGAACATACAGGTAACAATAATATTCTTTTGAAAACTGTGAATTTTGTATCAGAAACATCTGTCAGAAACAGGAAATTTGATCAAACCATTATATCTGTGTTGATGCAGAATTCCCTGTGAAAGATAAAGATTTTCTCTACGTGAAAAAAAGATCCATCAAATCTATGGAAAGATCAAACATAGTGCCATAACTAGTTATATTTGAATATTGAGCATAGAAATGGCTGTCACTTCACCAATCTTCTTTTCTTATTATTATTATTGTAAAAACTTTAATAAATAAATACCCTCAACTAATATTGGAAGTCAGTAAGATACTTAGTTTTGGTTATATAATTTTCAGTTTGTCAACAATTCCATGCTCCAGAAATGTTTAACTACCAATCGACGTCAGGTTGTACTAATTATGGAATGTATTATAAACCACATCATTATCAACAGGGTAAAAAATATCCCACTGTATTATTTGTATATGGTGGTCCACAAGTACAGCTAGTTTCAAATTCTTTTAAAGGGCTCAAGTAAGTATTTTTACATTTCTATGAGATCCAAAATGCTGCATTGAAACTTAAATGATTTTTCTATCTGTGAGTCTTGGAAATTGCGAACATGCAAAAGGACATCTCAGAAAACTACATTGTTGACATACTTACTCCTTGTTTAAGAGACAAACTAGTCAAACTTACTGCTCTGTTCTAAGTAGTTTGATACACTGAACTAAATGAAACCAAAACAATGATTTTGTTTGATTTTGCAGATTTTTAAGGCTGCATACGTTAGCTGCTGAAGGATATGCTGTAGTAGTGATAGATTGTAGAGGTTCTTCTCATAGAGGTTTAATATATGAAAGTGTTTTAAAAGACAGTTTAGTAAGTAATTTCCTTTATTGTGTTGGACATGAATTTAATTTTTACTGTTCAAGACAATGTAAAACTAGTGATGAGGTTCTGTAGGACAGTTGGTTAGATTAACATGACTTCATTTGCTGTCAAACAAATTGTGATTATGGGTTCTAATCTCAGTTAGCATTTGCAAGTCTGGTGACCTTGAATAAGTAATTTTACCTCTATTTCCATTCAATCCAGCTGTAAATAGGTACTGATAGTCTGGGAAAGATCCAAATCCAAAAGGATCCTTGTGAACCTTAGTTGTTATCCTTGTCAATAAGGACTATGAAAATGAAATTTTGATTTTTGTTTAATTTAATTGTAGGGTACAGTAGAAATAGATGAACAAGTTGAAGGCTTGTTTTATTTAAATTCTATGGTAGATTTTATTGATATTTCACGGGTAGCTATTCATGGCTGGTCTTATGGTGGTTATCTTTCCTTGATGGGCTTAGCTCAGAGACCTGAAATATTTAAGGTAAATAAAGGCATTACTAACAAGTTTTAACTAATTATAAGACATTCTCAGAAATTCAATGTTTAAAATTGATTAAATTTTTCATTTGAGTTTACAAAACATTTTAAATAAACAGTTTATAAATCTTGAACTTTATTTGAACAAATTTTTTGGAAAAAAAAAGATAAAATATGGGAAATATCTTAGATATTGTACAATTTTTTACAATTTTTGAAATATTCCTGTATTGGAGAATTTAATTTTTATCTGTATGTATATGTCATTGTAGTGCTCTATAGCTGGTGCTCCAGTAGTAGATTGGACTCTATATGACACTGGTTATACTGAACGGTATTTAGGTCTACCAACAACCAGTTCAGAAGCCTACCAGAAAGGTTGTGTTTTACATTATATCAACTCCTTCCCTGATGAGTAAGTGTTTGTTTATATTAAATCTTGATAGATATAAGGGCTCTACACTCAACTGTTTGAGACTGTTATCTACAGGTTATCTTTCATTATCTGGTTTGGAAGTTTCATTAATGAAATTCTGGTTACATTATAACAACAGAACAGTCATTGATGTAAAACTGATCAGTGCATTGATTAGAGCTTTGGTTTTTATCTCTCAAATCCATTAACGATAGCTGTCTTGATATTGTCCATTTATATAAAAAAAACATGGCCATACAAAATAAATAGCCTGTTTTACAGGCCTTGTTTTTTCAAAAATCTGGGCGAGAGGGCGAATTTATTATTTATTATTCATTAACGCTTTTTTAGATTTTCAACTGGAATAAATCGGAGTGAGCGAAAGCATTTATTATTTATTACCACAAATTTAATATCAAGGCAACAATCAGGCATTTTTAGGCGTGTAAAACAGACTATTTATTTTGTATGGCCTAATGAATATATGAGAGTATTTAAATTACTATTTTGAATGGTTTTTTCTGTATTTATAGAGAGAATCGTTTGTTAATAATCCATGGTTTAATAGATGAGAATGTCCATTTCCACCATAGTAATTATTTAATTAATTCATTAGTTAAACATTGTAAACCATATCAACTACAGGTATGTTCAGTTTATTTCATTAATATTTTCTGGATGTGATCTGAGAGTAGTAATATCAGCAAAATTCTGAATCAACTTTGACCTTTGCTGAAAATCTGCTTTGGCAATCCTTCAAGTCTTTTAAAGTGGAAAAGGACCTTCAATTGCCAAAAGGATTAGTAAGTGCCCATATTTCTAAACTTGTATTTATTTGGTTGATCAGTTAGAATAAGGAGATTTTGTAAAATGTCTTGAATTAGGATGGTGATGACAAATTAAGGTTTTACATTATCTGTTCACAAAATTTGAAATTTATACAAAGTGTATATAAAATGGATCTGTTTTTGTAGGTATATCCTAATGAAAGACATGGTATAAGAGGACATGAAGCTAGTGAACACTATAAAACTATGGTGCTGAGTTTCTTACAAAATAATCTGTGATATCTAAACATTCAACTCTGATAAACTAGGGGCTGTTAATTTGGTAACTTTATTTTAATATTGTAATGAAATGAATTCCACGAGGTTGGAGATACTTTTAACACATGGCTCTGATAGAACAGTTATATGCTATTGAAATTGATATTTTATTGCTTGCTGGGAATTTAAGTGAGCAATTTATATACAGTGGAACTTGTATTGACCAAGTGGTTAGGGAATGCTCAAACGTAGCTGCTCACTAAGAGTAGTGCTTAGCAGGGATAAGAAAGATTACGGTATGAAATGAAAGAAAATATATATTTTTCCATGTCTTTCCTACTTATTTGATAAGTGCAGGCATACAACCTAAGAATATATAGAATTTACATCAAATGTAATGATAAACTTGATTAATATTTGGTATATTATTGCTTTGACAATTGTCATAAAATCAGATTAAGTTATCTGCTATTGTTTATCATCTGTATCCCAAAATGTTTTAATTATACATTACAAGGATTGAAGAGAGGTTTTCTAAATTTTGTATGTGTATCAGGGACACTGATACAATCAGTTTGCACCATTCCTCTTGCGAACCCACTAAAACTCCTTTTTGAGGATACACAAAAATTTTTTATAAAACCTCTTAACAATCCCTTTGAAAATTATGTTAAAATTTCCTGTTATACTTACAATAACTATTGTCTCATGATTGAAGGATGGTCAATACCTTTGCTGATATTATATTCCAGATATTTAAATAAATTAGGGTAATCTAGTTACCTGGGAAATGCTGTCAGGAACTTCATAAATACACACAGTTTCATCATGATTTAAAGAAATCTAATTGGTTGATATTGTGTTTGAAAATTAGTGACCAATCATTACTAAATGATGGTTTTTTCGTGAAATGTTTTATTTCTATATCTATTAATATTATTATTCTGTGAATATGTTTTTATTTAAAGCCTGTGATGATGACATTTTTATTATTAAAACATATTTATTTTAATTATCGTGTTGTTTAAAAACATATTACTTTAGTCCTGCTAGGGTTGCTTTGATGTATGACCGTATGACGTTCACGGCTATCCATTTGGATGCCTCTGTGGTAAAGTGAGTTGGACGCCAATAAAGCTGTTTTGTGGGCCCTATAGTTATAAAAAGAGTAGATAAGAAAACAATAATTTATTTGTATACCGGTAACTCAATAAATAAAAATATCACAGATTTCACAAAACTGATATCACAGTTCACAATAGAAAACATTTGTCTTAAACAGAAATGTTGACATTTTATCACTAGATGCCTCAATTAACCTGTTCAGTTGTAAATTAAGGGTCAGCCAAATAATGCCCATATTCTCAGCAGTTCAAAGGAAATTTCTATTTTGACTCAAAGTTCTGATTTTGAAAATGAATATTGAATTAAATAACATCAAATCAATTGTGAAGTATAGAATGCAATATCAAGAAAGTGCAAAACTCAAATATAATTCAAATTATCTTAGCTATTTGACCTCTGAAAAGATGTAAGGTTGACAAACCTAGTTCCTAGCCGATATAGCAGAGTCCCACATGGGACCCTGCAGCAGTTAAAACACTAACAGTGTTCATTACACCAGGTTAAAAAATCTATTCATAAGATAAAAGCACAACCAAATTTTTAGTATGTTTGGTACAGCTTGTTCTTTAAAGATAAATATGCCTGTTTCAAATTATATCTTGCCAAAGTGCAGAAATATCTTCATCTGTCTTCAGTTGGGCAGAATGTATCCTGCTTCAGAATATAGAGCATAAAGAGAAACGTTAAAGTAATAAGTAAAGGAATAAGGGTGCTGTAAGTGAAAATGCAGTGATTCTGTACACTATATTCAATTTAAAATATTTTTTTGGCTGTGCTCACTGTGATATGTTTCAAATTTACACTTTAACTTTCTGTTTTTCTGTCGCGTCTAATTCTTCTCTCTCTTAATTTATCTTGTAAACCTTGCTCCATTCTCGCTTTATTCATTTCCTGAGCTTTTTCAAATTCTTTCATTTCTTGTTCATGCTGTTTTCTCAATTGTTCAATGTTACCTGAAATTTAGATGGAGGTGATGACAATTCTGACAACTTAAAGGAAATGTATAGAACTTTTCTTAACTTTTAAGGTGTATGTGGGCCACTAATAGCATCAATTTGCACCATTCCAACTTTCAGTTAGACATCGTACTTCCATAATATGCTTTTCATGAATTACAAAAGAATGAAAAGATTTTTAATCTGCAAAATGTTACCAGATATGCTGGTGAAGCAATTAGTTAGACAATTTTACTCATTCAAAACAACTGTCACCATTATTCAAAATGTCCAGCCCCATTATAATCCTTGTCAACCTGAGATATCAGCACTACCAGATGATGGACAATTATTTGTTACAAAATTTTAAGCTTACCAAAGAGTTCCTCTGTTGATGGAGCTGGAGCCAATTCTTCCAATGGTAGAGGAGTAGGAGCACTAGGTGAGGCTTCATCAGGTGTCAGGGTCTGAAAGAAATCATGTTGTCAATTTAATCTGAGAGTAATGAAAACTTGACTGCTAGTCTAGCTGTCACTTTTTTCCAATACTTTGTGTTTTTCAGTCCTAGATCTCCAAAATTCAAACATTTGGAATGACAAGTTATGCACTAAGAGTTTATGCCAAAGGTTTTTTTTGACCATGAGAATTCATTGTACATTAATTAAATAATCCATTTCTCTCACCTTGCCATCTTCAGTTTTCACCAAATCTGGTTGGACCACTTCTTCTTGTACCATTTCATTCTGTTTTGTTTGAGATGGTGCTAAAAAGGAATGTTCGTTTATAGTTATCCTGACGAGACAGACTCACTGTAAATATTAACCTGTGCTTTCAATTTTTTCTAAAATGCACCTGCTCATTTTTGCAATGCCTCTTAGGGGGGTAAAAAAAACTGCACTATACACAAAAATATATGGTTTTACGTTTAAATATGATAATCTTTTGGTCATGTTAAGTTCTGATCATGGGCAATACCACACAATTTCAATAATAAACCAGGTCAAGTTTTAATTTGTCCCATTACTGAACAATCCTATTTGTATATATTTTTATGTTAAATACTAAAGATGAAGTGTATAAATGAAAAATGTGCAAAATCTAAACAGAAACATGAAAAAAAGTGATTAAAACAAAAGGCATTTGAACCAACACCTCAAACAAACATAAAACATGCATCACCCATAACCTCAGAAATAAAATCATGTCAATGCACGTGCCAACTTAAGATACATGCACTGAAATGTTACTGTGCAGATCACAAAAATAGTAGGTTTTAAAATTAACTGAAACAACATAAGTGCATATACATGTACAGTTTTGAATGCATTTTGGTGCAAATAACAAGTTTACAACAACAAGTGCTATATCAAGACAAATTACTTCCAATACATACCCATTAGATTTTCAAATTCTTAATAAAGTAATAAATAATATATTAAGATTGGAATAATTTTGAGTCAAAAAATGTATAAATGATAACTGTTAGCCCTAATTATTTACCTTTCACAAAAGTTGTATAAATACTGCATATCCAATATTTCAATGTTTTAAAAATCCAAGAGCACCAGTCAACAATACACATGTTTAGACAGTTGTCTGTATTTTGTTTATCTTCATACCAATAGTATGATAGTCATTGTGATTTTGAATACTAATATGGGGATATAATTCATTAATAAAAAACAACTTTTCTCAAGCAGGCTTATTAATACCAAACTAAACTTGTTTTTTTTTTCATAAATTTTTAAATCATAAAGTTTCATAAATTTTCAGCACACAAAAAAAGCCTATTTAATGGAGAATTTAAAACGTTTACACAAGCAATACACTAAAATTTTAAGTAGATTTAGTGCTATTAAACACAATACAATTTTGGATGATAGAGTTTCAAATCTCCCTCAAAATAGGATGGAGTGCTATTGTTAATGTTTTGAATTGGATCCAGATATATCTTCCTTCAACTATAACAGTCAATTGGACAAGAGTTAAAAATAAATATTCAGCTATGGACCTACCTCCTTCAGCCATTCCGAGATCACCAAATTTATCTCCCATTCTTTCTTTGATTAATCTCAATCTCTCCTGTCGTAATTCTGTAGATTTTTTGTTATATAACTCTGATAATTGTTTGACATCTTTATCTATTGTACTTTCAATTACCTAAAAAAGAATAAAACTCACCTTTAGATGAAAATTATTATATACTAATACACTAATTATTGTTATAATGAGATATACTTATCAGTTACCTATTGATCTAAAGCATGCATGATAAATAGATTACTAATAGAGTTTATTCATATTATATTACATTAAGATAAGCTATTGTGTATATTATCACGGCAGGTCAAAAGGTAAGAGCTTTTACTTACATTGTTAAACCACTGTAACAGGGCTGCAGCACGTTTATGTGTCACACTATAACATTGATAAGCATGGTGATGTCTATCAGGGGTCTGCATATCAACATAGATATTATTACAGGCCCTGTTTAAAGTATCAATTTCTGATCGTTCACAATATGGAAATTTGATATTAGATAAATAACGTTGTGCACTGGTTATATTTTGACTGGCTGCTATTAAGTTATTTCTACATTCAGTTGCCATTTGATATTTATGTTGAACATTTCTGAAACAAAAAATTGTAGCAGTGTTGATTCAAATAAAAGTTTGTTTGAAAAGCCTCTTAAATGATAAGTGAATCTTCAGCTTTATTCAGATAGTTGTTCCAAATAAGCCAGACCCTAATCAAAGGTCAGAGATTGTAAAGCTTTCTTTTTGACTGCATAACATTTTTGCACCATTTCATGAATTTGGCGTAGGACTTTGCTATCAAATAGGAACTTGATACAGAAAAAGGCCCAAAAATGTCTTTCAATGCCATTAAAGAAGGCAGAGTAATCACCAAAAAGCCAAAACTTACTGAGCACTTAGTTGTGGTAGATCATACCATCTTCGTACAGCCAGAGCTAACTGATTACACGCATGTTGTAACAGAACACGACTGTTATTCCATTTATACTTAGCCAGCGATACTCGATCTTTTCTATCTTTAATTTGATTGACTTCAAATTCTAACTTATTTTCTGTTTCACTACCATATTCACCACTAAATATTTTATCTACAATGGTAAAACAATCAGTATTATATCGGTAAAGATATTGGTACACTGGGATGATTCAAAACATAAACTGAAAGACATTTTAATTTCAAAGTTGATGTAAAGTAACTGAAATTTTGGACAGGACTTGACTGTGTACATTACATTGCATGAAATCAGAATATCTCAAATAATTATAGGTTCTCATATAACTGATGCCCTCTGATATGAGCTCAGTCTGGAAGATATGTAAAAATAAAAAATTCTGTGCTTAGCTCTTCTGTTTTTTAGAGCGGACTTAACAATATCTTAATTTGATTTTAAATTTTCAAATCACTATGATCAATTAATATGCAAATCTATGTAATTATATTTTGAGGAATGGTCAAAGTAATAAGCTTACTAGCTGTATTGACTTTATCTACATTTTATAGAAATTAATTTGTGAAAATGAAAGCATTCATTCAAGCCTATTTAGTGTCCAGTGCATCCCAGGCACATGTTTTCTGCAGAATAACCATAATAAACTAGGAATAGATGAAAATTTCAATGAAGGCATTCCATGTGAATCATGCAATATCAAGATAGTGTCATAAGTAAAAGAAATACCATTTGTTAAAAGATAGTCTGAAAAAAGTTGCACATGTTATATTTACTATGAAGTATTTTGGAGATGCCAAAGAAAAGTGCATGCATCAGACCTATTGCTCTTAATAGATTTGTTTTGTACAATTTGATCTCATTTGAATTTTCGTGTAATTGATGCATTTTGTGCAAATTTTATTTTCATTCAATTAAGAAAGAAAAGGAAACACACTTGTTTGTCTTAATTCTTTATCTTTTTTTACTTGTAACTATTTGAAATTGAGGATTTGAGCATCTCAAGAATTAAAATTACCTAAAAGTCCTTCTTGTTCATCATAATAGGTATTTAAAGTTTTCACTTGATTCGTTAGCTCTTCAACCTCTTTCTGAACTGTTGCGTGCTGGGATTTCAAACTCTCTAATTGACTCTTGACAACTTCCTGGCCGTTAACAGCCTCTAAATACTCTTCCTGTAATATCAGATAGCATTAGCTATAAACATGTCACACATAAAACAGTAAATAAATCTTCTCAATTATTCTTGTACATGTTTTACCTTCTCATTACATCTCAAACTAGATTCTGTTTCGGACACCTGATACAACATTTCGTCATGATAAACTTCCTCATATAAATAGTTAGTTTGGGGTATTTTAGGGGTTTTTTAACTTTAATAAAAAAGACCCACTGATAGTGACCTTCATTAACTATATAATTTCGACTGTTATCTAAAAGTATTGTGGCTGATTATCCTTGGTAATATCACATAATGGAACACAATATTGTGTACTACTCTTGGGGTTTATTGTACACAACATTTCAAAAATTTACACAGTCATCATCAGGGGAAATAAGTATCATTGTTGATAGAATTAATAAAAACTTTAATATCAATTTTTAAAAATGTTGAATGAAACTGATAGAATGTAACGCCTGTAACAATTTGCTATAGTTCTACAGAGAATTTCTCCATATCATGTGCATCTATTATTCATAACTTTTCAGTCAATATTGAACACTCCCATGGCAGAACTGATAGTTATGTAATTCTGAATCGGGTAAATTAAAACAGATCTGATATATTTCAAAAGAGAATTGGATTTTTTGTGAAATATTTGTACCTCTCAGGTAATTTCCATTTCATTTCTATATCTAATAAATGATCTGATATATGACAGTTTCTTAGTGATATCTATTATGAAATTCTTTGTCTCGCTGTAGACCTATTGTTCATCACTTTATGTATTCTTTTTAAGCTCTAGCCATGAGACGATAATTCAAGATTTTTCTTGAGAAAAGGGGCCTTCAAGCCTCTTTAGACATAAAGAGCTTTTAGATTACATAGATCTTTAAAATTATCAGCTTATTTTCAAGTTAATCTGAATGTCTTACAAAAATTAATGTAATATAACATTGTGAACAATAATATTCAAATATCTAGAATTATCACAGTAAGCCTACACTTTCAGTCTAATTAAAATGAGACAAATTAACCATGTGACCTAACCTAAATTTGATTGGTTAAAGCAGGGTTAGGTTTAAGGGTTAATTTGACGAATGTTCAATAGGGCTTTCCTTAGACCCTGACTGAAGTGGCTATAATAAAGATAAAAGCTAAGAAAAAAAATGGAACGAAAGTTTGGTCTAATTTACTTTAAGGTATAAAATAACATAACAGATTTCTAGTGCACAGATAAGATAATATTAGATTTATTACCTGTTCTTTTGACAGCTTCTCATCAAATGATGTCTGGTCTTTAAAAAACCCTCTCACACTTGGTTCGTGTAATTTATCTACATCAGCTTTTTCCTTGGCTCTGAAATAAAAGTTATATGATTTAGTTGCTTCTACTGAGAGCACTTCTTTGTTCTCCACTGTTCTCAATTCTCTCCACTTCTTCATCTCCACTGAAACTAACTGTCCTTGCTCTCCCCACCTTAGTCTAAACTGAAACTAACTGTCCTTGCTCTCCCCTCCTTAACTAAACTGAAACTAATTGTCCTTGCTCTCCCCACTTTCATCTAAACTGCAACTAATTGTCCTTGCTCTCCCCACCTTCATCTAAACTGCAACTAATTGTCCTCCCTCTCCCCACCTTCATCTAAACAAGTTGTTCTTGCTTTCCCCTCCTTCATCTAAACTGAAACTAATTGTCCTTGCTCTTCCAACCTTCATCTAAACTGAAACTAATTGTCCTTGCTCTCCCAACCTTCAACTAAACTGAAACAACAAGTTGACCTTGCTATCTCCTCCATCATCTAACCTGAAACTATAGTGTTCTTGCTCTCCCCTCCTTCATCTAAACTGAAACTAATTGTCCTTGCTCCCCCCTCCTTCATCTAAACTGAAACTAATTGTCCCTGCTCTCCCAACCTTCATCTAAACTGAAACGAATTGTCCTTGCTCTCTCAACCTTCAACTAAACTGAAACAACAAGTTGACCTTGCTATCTCCTCCATCATCTAACCTGAAACTAATTGTCCTTGCTCTCCCCTCCTTCATCTAAACTGAAACTAATTGTCCTTGCTCTTCCCACCTTCATCTAAACTGAAACTAATTGTCCTTGCTCTTCCCACCTTCATCTAAACTGAAAATAATTGTCCTTACTCTCCCAACCTTCAACTTGACTGAAACTAACTGTCCTAACTCTCCCCACCTTCATCTAAAATGAAACTCATTGTCCTTGCTCTCCAAACCTTCAACTAAACTGAAACTAGCTGTCCTTGCTCCCCCAACCTTCATCTAGACTGAAACTAACTGTCCTTGCTCCCCCAACCTTCATCTAGACTGAAACTAATTTCCATTATACTGAAACTAATTGCCCTTCCTCTCCCAACCTTGATCTAGACTGAAACTAATTGTCCTTCCTCTCCCAACCTTCATCTAGACTGAAACTAATTTCCACTATACTGAAACTAATTGCCCTTCCTCTCCCAACCTTGATCTAGACTGAAACTAATTGTCCTTCCTCTCCCAACCTTCATCTAAACTGAAAGTAATTGTCCTTCCTCTCCCAACCTTCATCTAAACTGAAACTAATTGTCCTTCCTCCCCCAACCTTCATCTAGACTGAAACTAATTTCCATTATACTGAAACTAATTGACCTTCATCTAAACTGAAACTAATTTCCATTATAATGAAACTAATTGTCCTTGCTCTCCCCGCCTATATCTCCCCTCCTAGCCTTGGTCCCTAATCCCTTTCAAATCCTTTCTTGACCAATGTTCATGCCCCTCTACCCAACTCTTTCTCTTTCTAACGGTCATTAATCTCCACCCACTTAATTTAAACTGTAATCTAAAACCAGAGGAACATTAACCCAGAAAAATGGCGTCTGGCAATAAATAAAGATAGTATTGATCACTTACACTTTATCAGTAGCAGCCTTATATTGCTTCTCTGTTTGTTCAACCGAACTTTGAATATTGGTTAAGTTCTCCTTTTTCATTGACAAAGTACCAACCACATTTTGTTCTTCCAATGGTCGAACAGTTTTTTCTAACTCTATGTAACGTTTCAACATGTTTAAAATAGCTTCTGGTGATTCGGTCTTAGAAATAAAAATGAAAGAAAGCTATAGTATTTAAGTAGGAAGGAAAGTATATCAAGAGCAATTTATCGGGTGATTAGGTTCAGTGTGTCTGGTACTGGTACGGTGTCGTGGTGTAATATTGTCGGCAAGCTCGCCAGACAAGTTACAGTCCGTCTTGATTGATTATCTCAGATTCTAGTTAAGAGTGACACCAGATCTAGTCTTACAAACTTCATTAGCACAATTGATGAATTAAATTAGTTAATTTCATACTTGGTCTCTATCATTTCTCGTTTTAGAACGTTTCAATTTCCCGTCCTTGTCATTATGGGAGGTTTGGTTTAGTCTTAGTCAAGGTAATCATAGAGAGTTTTGTTTAGTCAAGATAAACGATCAGATGGTACACATGTTACACACAGCCCGGTCGTTCGCGCTTAGTAAGGCAGGTAGAAATCATTACTTTCAGGATAAAAGGATCCATGTTATCTCAACCCTTTTTTCGGCCATTTCTTACCTTTGATTAGGCGTAAGTGTGTATACGTATCATTATCCAAATCCAACCGATTGGATTCACAAGTTTATTTGTATAAAAGATATGACCCACAAGTGGAATTCAAAAGCACTCAACAATTTATGAATAATCGAGACCTACCTCCATTTTGTTATTTTGATTGGGAGCTCCTGCCTGTGTTCTGGATTCAAACGGTGGGGCAGATGGTTGTGGTTGTGGTGGGTAATGCTTCAAAATTAAAAGAAAAAGTTTAATAACTACCCAAGGAACTGGTGTCTGTATGCAGTGGCGTTGCTATGAATCATTAGATGGGACCTAGTAGAGATCACCCAATTGTCAAGGAGGCTCTAAGGCGATTATTACCCATGTAAAACGATGGAGGTGTC